TATATATATGTGTATATATATATATTTTTTTTTGCTTCTACTCCTGTTAGTAATTAATATTGGTTAATTTATATATGTCAAGTAGAAAGTAATGTACATAAATTTAGGCTCAAAACTAAAACCATTTTGTAATTTACTCCACAAATATTTATTGTGATTCTTCAGGCCTGAGGCTTGGTATCAAAAGACTACTTCTAAATTTAAGGCATTCTGTAAGAGGTAATACCCACAATGAGAGAGAGAGAGAGAGAGAGAGAGAGAGAGAGAGAGAGAGACAGAGAGAGACAGAGAGAGACAGAGAGAGACAGAGAGAGAGAAGAAAAGACCCTGTTGCAGCAAGCTCTGGAGAATTCACTTACCTCTTCCTTTGTGACTATAACTGTATCCAAGATTTTGACCTTCTTCAGTGTCTAGGTTCCTGCATGGGATTTGAAACTAGCCTTGTTTGGTTTGTCTTTCCTTTCATTTCCTTCTGGATTATTTGGTGCATATTTCTGTTTAGACCATTTGACTTCCTGACTCTCTATTTCAACACACCAGCTTTAACTCTCAATCCTCCTCTTCATCTTTTATGGAAAGGAGATTCGTGAGAGATTGTAACCAAGTCCCTAATTTCCATGAGCTGTAGACTGGGTGCTTTCAAGAATGCAACAGAATCAGTTAATATTTTAAGTGAGGGAGACACAGTATAGTGTGGATGTCATTGGCTCTTTCTGAAGTCACATCAATTAGGATATTATTAAAAGATTTAAGGGTTCCTTTCATAAAGTCCTGTTTCACATATCTTAAAATCAGTGATGATAGCATATGGATTTAACCATGGTCCCTTGCTGGGCATAAACGAAATTAAATGGGGCAAGAGGATGAACTGGTTTCCACTCCTGGCTCACTGAAACCTTGTTTTTATTCTTTCTTGGCCATATCCTTCAGTATTTGATAATGACTTGCTCATTGACTGGAAGGCATAGTAATCAATTAAGGTGATGGGGGTTGTATTTGTGTTCTATGGCAGCAACCTCAGGATGATCCTTCTACACCATGAAACAGTTAATTCACTTGTCCAAATGATCCCACTTAAAACAGATAAACCAGCTCATTGTGCTTCCTGGTCTTTTCTTTAACAGTTCAATAATATACCAGCCATTTTAAAACACCGCAGGCCAGAATCATAGATGTATTTGAATATATTATATGTAAAATAGTGTTGCTATCTTTAACTTGTAGAAGTTATACATGTATGCATTTTTTGAAACAATAGAAGTTTGTGAACCTTGTAATAAATATAAAATAATCACCATCACCTGTGAATCCTCTGGACCCAAATCACTCAACCTCCAGGACCTGGGTTCTTTATTACCCTCTTCTACACATTGTAAATCTATCATTGACCATATATACCATATATATATATATATATATTTCTCATTTACGGGGCTTCTTATAAATTAGTTCTTCCATGGTATTCTTTAGTAGAAACATTGACTAGACCATATATCATATATATATATATATATATTTCTCATTTACGGGGCTTCTTATAAATTAGTTCTTCCATGGTATTCTTTAGTAGAAACATTGACTTTGTGATTCCTCCATAGGCTGAACACTTAAAACATTGAGCAAACTGAAAAGTCAGAGCAGAAGCCCCTTGTACTCTTGATCATTAATCATGGCTGGGTGTGTGTGTCAGAGCTCCGTGCAGCTCTGATTTCCCTCATATGCCCTCTGGGCAGAAACCTTGCCTTATTTGTGTCTTCTGGAGCACCCAGTACACTGCCGGAGTTCCATAAATAATTAATTTCCTCAATAATAATGGGAAGCCAAGGCTCCCAGGAAGCTTTCTTACCCTGTACTGTGAAACTAGTGTTATGGTATTTTGACTATCAAAACAATGATTAAGCAGCTTTGGCACACTTTATGTTTGGGCTAAATGCAATTTTGCTAATGCACTATCTCATTTCTCCCTCCCCCAACACTCGTATTTTAATGATTTCTAATTAATATTGTAATATTTCTTGAATAATTCATGTTTTTAAACAAGAAAGGCTGGCATAAATTTATGTCAATCTGTTTGTGTATTGCTGTGCTGTGCATAACAAACAAACACAGTCTGCTTCTTTGGAAAGTGGGGAAGGGACATGAGAGAAGATAATTCTGGAAGGTAGTCTGGGATTCTTGTTCTCTCCTGAAGAGAATCCCCACACCCCATTGCCCTGTGCGACAAAGGCAGGCACCTTTGTCTTTGCCATCGTTCCTTTTCATTTCATTTTTTCAGCTGACTGGCACCTGAGACCAACAAGCTGCACCTCTTTACCCTGAACTCTGATCTGCTCTCTTCAGCTGGTCCATGAACTTTACATCTCCTGGCTCCAGCTCCATCGTAAAATCGTCTTTTAGCCTCTCTAAACACTGCTCAGTGATAGTTGCAGGCTGTACTCTGGCCACCTATTTAGGACTAAATGGATAACAATTGGGGGTGTGTTTATTCATTTAGTCAACAAATATGTAATGGATATCTGCTGTTGCCTGCAAGCATGCAAAGCCTGAGGGCACAAGGCTGGATCCATGATCATGGGATCTTGGCTGAGTATCACAAGTAGCGCAATCACTCTTTTTAAAGTGACTCCTGAAGAATCCTCTCGGTATTCTGTAGCAGGCCAGTGAGGAAATTCCTTTAAGGAAGAAAGATTTTTGAGTCTCCTGGATATCTGCTGATTTTCCTTTCAAACAGTTTGGTCCACAGTCATGGTATAGTACAAAGCCATGCACTGATTAAATTTCCTTCCTTCCTTCCTTCCTTCCTTCCTTCCTTCCTTCCTTCCTTCCTTCCTTCCTTCCATTCTTTCTTTCTTTCTTTCTTTCTTTCTTTCTTTCTTTCTTTCTTTCTCTTTCTTTCTTTCAAAAATCAAACTTAGGGACTAGATGAAAGCTTTCAGAATAAAAACAGTTCAATCTGAACTTTTCCCTCACTTCCCGTGGTAATGGTCTTCTTTGTTAAAGTCTAAATGTGCGTTTTATTAAATTAAGCATAAAATCATCCCAGAGACCTGGAAACAGGGACTCTTTCTTGGGCAGCATTTTTTTCCTCTCAAGTATAAGAAGCCTGTTTCTTTAGACAGACTGCTTCCATGTAGTATGTGTTGCCAAGTGATTTCAGTTCCACTCCCCCTCCTCCCTGGGGCTGGAGAAAAGACTTTAATATCTATCATTTCTGTCTGGACTAAGACACTACTA